TCCGCCCGACATTATGCTCTCCGGCCAAAATCATATATATATCCCAAAATTTTTTTTTACTAAGATAGAGAGGGGGGTAATGTAAACCACCGAATTAAATTGGTCTGGCCTTAACATGCAAAATGAATTCTAGCAAGTTGGAGGTGATGAAACTATCCTGATTAGTCATAAAGCCGTGAGTCCTCATGAATATCAATTGTTTTCATATGCAACTAAAAATTTTGAAAAGTATCCTTTTAAGAAACCTACTAAAGTTATATTTGAAGTTTATGATGATATGTCTCATGTCTTTATTTAACTGTTAAAATATTTTTTTATGGTAAATACTTTAAAATATATTATTAATTTTACATGTATGAATAATCAATTATTACAAATATGCACTTTTTTTTTAAACGTTCTCAAATAGTATTTGAACGTCGTAGAGATTTTATAAAACATGCTATTTCTATTAAATGTCTTATTAAAGAAGAGCTAGTATCTCCTTTTTCTTTTCACCCTCATTTCTTTCAATAGAGAGTTAATACAGATGATAATTGAATAAAAATGATCGGAATTGTCTAAAATGGGATAAAATGGGCGTAGTGTCTAAACCCAAACCTTAAAAAATACATCACTGATAAAATTAACAGATCTTTTAAAATCAACTCTATAATGTACTAACTGTTCTTATAGTAAAAGTTCCTTATGGTATAAATTCTGTTTCTTTAAAATAAATTTTTTTTAAAAAAGTTCGTTATACAGTAAAAGGTCCATTATATTCAGAGTCGATCGTATTATGATTATTTGGAATGGTTTGGATTTTTTTGTATATTTCAGAATTATCTTCATACGTAGTACTTATATATAGGTTTGATTCTGAAGTGTTACATGTACTAGTTAACTATCAGTAAAAAATAAACTGAATATTACATATTATGCTTAAATATAAAGAAAAGCACAAAATTTTGTATTTACTTTTGATTACTATTTCAGCAAAATTTTCAAGCATCATACACCACACACAAGAAAATACAAAATTATATTAGTCTATTTTTATCAATTGCTATACACTATTTAGTCAAACATTTAGACAATTTTGTTCGGAAATATATTTCGACATGGTATTATTTCTTGTCTAAATGTCAAAATCCTAAATTTGTCTAAATGCCTAAATAGTTGACTAAACAAATATTATATGACTAAATGTCTAAATTAGTGATAAAGAGGGCTTGTATATTAAAAGTAACTAGTTTTTGTAATTCCGATTCATTCAAACATATGTCTTTTAGAAGTTGAACCTGCTTTATAGGGGTAAGCAGCCGTTTTTGATCAAATCTATTTTAAAGTAGCGTGAAATCCACCAAATAAACAAGTTCGGATACTTGTTAATAAATAGGTATCTATATATTTTTTAATTTAGATATTTCGACATTATTAGACATTTCGGAATTTAGAATTTCGGCAGACTAAATCTCAAATGTCAAAATATTTCTACAAGTTCAAAACAATTTCGGCTAACAACATTAATGCTTATTCAAACTTGAAGATTTTTCAATAACGGCCAGGTCAATTCTAGTGGTTAAGATTATTCTCGAATTCTGTTGGTTTGCAGAATTCAAAAATAGTTTTAAACATTGAAAGTGATGAGATGACCTTTGTGAAAACTGTAAAAGCGTAGATAAAGAAAATGGTATTATTAACGGTCAACAAACTACATTGTTATTTTCCAAATGATTATTTGTAAAATAATAATAAAATTATATGCTTAAACTTCACATTCGATGCTAATTGGGTAAATATTTTCAATTCTGCATGTACTTACGTTTGTACGTACTTAAGTAATCGAAATATAGGATTAGAAACCTATCATGAAATATCAATATGAGCAATTTTTTGATAGCAATAGAGTTAAGTATAACTGAGATTTAAGTTACGTCATTAGTCTAGTGATCAAGAGTAAATTTAGAATTTCGTTATAGTCTTCTCGGTTATTGGGGCTGTCTAAAGCCAGATAGTAATTTATATGCCTCACGTGACTTTTAATTTACAAATTTATTATTAATCAACTTAAAAACTACCTGGCTTTAGACGATATCGGTTATTGTTGTGGTCTTTGACGATCATTTCATCAGTCTGGTAAGAAAATTCGACAAAAAAAATACTATTTATTCCCGACGAATCTAGCATGATCATTTACATACGGAGTTTTCAATACATATAATTTAATATAATATAATTTTTTAAATGATTTGGTGGTTATGCTGAAGCGTTATTTATTCCCCCGTAACAAATGAATTATTCTCCCGTTTTACTAATTGACAGCTGGGAGCTATTTCCCAACTGAGTTTAAAATTAGGTTTTGCAAAAATAACACGTAAATCCCTATAAAAGACAATTCGTAAAACGGGGAATAATTTAACAAAAGTCAAAAAAGCTAAATATTGTATAGATTAGCCCCATTCCTTCCGAAATTTTGCTTCTTGCTCTGAAGGTCATTCGAGTGATCGATCATACTGTTATGGGCGGAATAGCTGCGACTCGGTCGCTTCACAATCCAAAAACTCACATAACCTGCGGGTAGTAACCTTACGAAAGAGGTGTGTTAGATTTGGCTGGTGGGTGATTTAAGGCTTCGGTTACTCTG